TACAATTTTGTATGAAAGTATACATTTTAAAAACTTTTGGACTATAATTTTGGTATTTTTCTGTAATGGATAATACTCAAAACATATACTATAAGGACTTCGGATAGAATCAAATAAAATTAAAAAGAGCCCAAGGGAAAAGCCCAAGAACCAAGCCCAAAGTGGGAAGAGGATTTACCCATTTGAAGCGCGTGTTTTGCACCGGTTTAGGAGTCGCGTGGTGCAAATAAGCGACTTGAAGAGACGAAGCAGCCAAAGTCACGCCGCAGTTTAAACATAAAAGCCATCATCAAACTCACTTGAATAGTCTTTCTCTATGAGGCGGCGATTCAGTCAAACATCGTTGACCGTCTCTCTTTATCCTTTTGCTAGATATTATTACGTCACTTTCATTATATTAATAAACCCTAATTAATGGCTCCAAAACAAGAAAGTGTCGCCGGAGAAAAAATGGTTAAGGAGGTGCATTATAGAGGAGTGAGGAAGAGACCGTGGGGGAGATACGCGGCGGAGATCCGTGACCCGAGAAAGAAAAACCGGGTCTGGCTCGGGACCTTTGACACGGCGGAGGAAGCCGCTAGAGCTTACGACTCCGCCGCAAGAGAGTTTCGCGGCTCCAAAGCAACTACAAATTTCCCACTCTCCGAGAGTACTTTCAACGACGGAGTTGTCAGGAATGCTTCAGCGACGGCGCGTGAGAGCGTGTCATCTCCGGCGGTTGGTGGATTTTTCTTAGATCTGCCGCATGCTAGCCCGCTGAGAGAGGAGCTAGGTCGAGTTTGTCCGGTCCGGTTTGAGCCAATAGCAATAGGGTTGAGTTTAGGTCTTGGAACCGCCGTGAAAGTTGAGCCGGAGATTTCCTCCGTCGTGGATTACAAGCTGCGAAAGGAGCTGAATCTAGACCTTAACTTAGGTCCACCGGTAGACGTTTAGGTTTCTTGGTACTAATTAAGCTTAATTAAATTCAAAATTATCCTTTTTCAGTTTTTCTTGAAGAGATATATATTTGTATGTTCTTTATTTTGTCTGTACTTTCTATTGGTAGAGTGTCTGTTACTGCTATACTTCTATTGGTAGAAGAGTTAAGATGAAACCAACTAAAAAAAAGACTAATCCTTTACCATTAATAAATGTTAAACAAAAAATCTGAAAATGGTAATTGAATTTTTTTTTAAATATTTCTAGACGATTGGGTTTCGTGTTGACGGGAGATGAGGTATTGGTGTCAGGTGGGTGGCACGTGTGCTTTTCGCCGTCCATGGTGACACGTGGAATAACATATCTTATCTCACTTCTTTGTGTCATATTTTCCACGCGCTCTATCGTCGCGGTGATACTCACAACATCATGAGCCTTCAGGGTTTTTTTTGGCCATTAAAAATGTAAAAAATCAAAACGGAGAAAAACCCCAAAACATTTGTGAAAATGATAAGACATTTGTCTATTTGATATCGAAAGAACTAACCGATCTTAAAATCGAAATCATATTAGACTATTTGATTTGTAATTTATCATTATTCTTTACTAATGTATACCGAAATTGCTCTTCATGAACATTCGAGATGGAAATTTACATTTATGCATCATGACAATACACATGTAGGTAAACCGTAAATATAGGGTTTAATGTTCGTGTTGAGTTCTATATAATTTGTTTATATCAGCTACTAGAAACCGCAAATGGAATATACATGTTCGTAGATCCCATACATGCATGTGTGTGTCTCTCGTAAAATATAATGTCATGGACACGTCTCAATATGTACATCTGTCAGTCACAAACACATGCCTCCTATGGAAACTGATTGCTTTCGTGTGGTGTCCGAAAAAGAACAATCGGAGAACTTGTCACAGCTTTTTTTTTTTTATATATAACAATTGTTATAAAGTCCCTTTTCTTAATGGAACGGTGTACAAATATATTCTCATCGACCAGTACAACCACAAAACAATTGAATAATTCAAGAATTGTGCATAATCGTAAACCATAAACAAAACACCATTTTTTAGGAACATTTACCAAGGAATGTATATTTCTTATCTCCATTGTTACATCCATTAACATTTACAAAGGTAGAACAAAACCTATTCAATGATATTTATACGTTTGAAAGGCTTTATATATGGTATAAATCAGGGTCCTATGAATTCTAAACTGGAAACGGAAGGAACAAAATGGTGAAAAAGTTGCATAGTCCGAACCCGCTAATTAAGCAGAGAATATGATCCCTTCGGTTTAAAGAGAAAATAATATGTATAGAAATAATGAAATTGCACAATCCGAATCCACAAGATATTACAAGTTCAACGTATTATTTGGTAAACATCCCACCAAAAAGAGATAAATCTAAAAATATGAAAAGACAATTCACAAGACACTTCTTAATTAGCTTCCGTGGAAATTCGTAAAACAATAAAATCTCCAAAACAAATTTTAACAACAATCTCCGCATGCATTGACCAACCCGTTACGCACCCCGATTATTTTTCCCATGATTCATGAATGTAATTAAAACATCTTCCATCGAAATTTACATTCTCCGTCGGATCTCCTCCCGGAAATTTTCCACCGTCAATTTATCAAGTCAAGAGATCATTCACCCATCCTAGGTCAGGATCACCACAAGAACCATCTTCAAAGCTAGTCTTGTCCCTAACCGTAGCCACCGCCGTGAAATCGTTCATCTGTCTCCGGCGAGGAGTGAAATCATCGCCGAAAAAATTCGCCGGAGGCGAGTTGGTTAGGTAACTTGGCGTGGAAGGCGAGAGAGCAAACTGCAAAGGACTACTTTGTTGCTGTTGTTGGAGATGGAGACGCTGATTACTCAAGCCGCATGATGAGGCAAACGCTGCAGCAGCCGCGGAAACCGGCGTTGTAACCGGTGAAGAGGAACTCACTTGAAGCACTTCCGCTAAGCTCATCGAATCTAACGAGTTCACCAACTCGCTCAAAACATCTTTATAGTTCACCGAACCAGCGGCTGCAGCGGCTGAAACGGCAGAGGCGGCGCGGTTCCTCAACCGCGAAAAAGCGGCGGCTTTGTGAGCCGGAGACAAAGGAGGAGATAGAGATGGAGAACGAGAAAGATGAGACAAATTACCCAAAAGAGTGCTTGTCGGAGAGCTGCTACAAAACATGCAACAGGTATTCTTGGCCGCCGGAGACGCAGAGGCTGAGCCGCCGGAAACGTTTTCCGGTGGAAGAACCCTAAGCTGACGTGGCGAATGAGCAAAGAAACAGACTTTTCGTTTACAGTGTCTCCCGTCTTTACAAGCTTCGGTACGGTAACGAATCGGATGGAGCCAACACTCAAAGACTCCATGAGCAAACTCACAGTCGTCTCCACGGCTACAATCACCACCACGACGAAACTCAGGACAAACCTCACCGGAGTATTGAAACCGACGAGGATCACGACGGCGAGCTTTCTCTCCAGGATGAGCAAAAGGACAATCAGTCCAATCGTGGCTTCGGCTACGAGTGCAACGTCGGATCTTGAATTCAAACATCCTGAAATGATCACTTGCGTAAGGATCGTCAGTGTCGGAATCATAACAATACTCTTTAACCTCC